TGTTAGAATAGTTCAATTGATTGACCAGTTTTATCGTCGCCTTCGAGTTTATCGCCAGGCGGGAGTTTGGGGCTCGGCGCAGGGCTGCACAGAATAGCAGAGCAGGGCTGTACTACCTTCGCTGTGGTGCGCTGATTCGCTCCTTGGGTGCATGTGAAATTTTATCAATTCTTATAAAAAGCTAACAGAAGTTTGACATCGCTTAGGTTTAAGGTGACCGTCTGAAGGGAAATTAGTACTAGACAGTTAACCAACTCGTAATTCCCAGTTGAGAGCAACTCCAGCTTATTTGAACATTTTATTGGGTAAATACGGCTAAGACTTCTGAGATATAGACTCTTTTCGTGCGTTGCATTTTTGATAACGGCCTTAAATCAATTTTCTGAATATGTGAATTATTTTTCTCGATTCTTTTTTACAAAAGCTTTGAAATAATCGTCAGGTAATGCTGTCCACATACGAATCTCCAGCCACCTCTAAAATTTCAAATACTACCGACTTCGATTACTTAGTAACCGGCAAGGGCTTAATACATATTACATTATCTCATAAATTAAAATAATACTAATATGTATCGACGGAAGTGTTATATATAATAACGTTACTGAACATGCAATTAGTTGAACAAAATTCAGCACAAACTAAACTATTCCTGATAGTCCGATGGAGATCAACTACCTTATGACACAAAAAATTGAGATTTATGAATGCAAAGCGAACCTACATCACCAACCATACTTTATTGACATAGCTTTATTATTACCCTTTTGGATGGACTATTACCCCATTATTACCCTATGGACTACCGTGTCGGTAGCCGGTAGTCCATATATAAATAAAACTTTCTAAAACATCCAAATATATTAATCAAGCTCCCCACACTGCCCTATATATTAAAAGACGCAGTTACTCACCCTTACATGAAATTCTTCCTGGATGCTCTGTTACCCACCTGAAAAAATTGACGAGTATTTGAACACCGGTAACAGTTAAATAAAATTTTAATAAAACTTATCTACCTAAAGTTAAGTTGCCTGCATACATTTCCATTTTGGTTCATCGCGCTCAAATTAATTAGTATATCTCTTAAAATTGTTTTCTATAGCCTATATTAGAAAATACTTTTAGAATTAACTCAACTAAATATTCACATGATCAAACCAAATAACTAGACAGTGTAATTTTTGACGACGTTGAATGTGAGGTAACAGACATTATCATCATTAAGAATACCTAGTTAATTAAGGTGCCGTGTTTTGTCTCTGAACCGATAAATGATTAATTATTGGTCTCTAAATTGGAAAAATAATTTGTTGTAGCTGTAGCATTGCAATATCTTAGTTGAAATCCACTTCTAAGGTTAAAAATTGACGTATCACCCAAAATAGATTGGCAAGGACATGGAACAAAAAATTCGAAGAGTCTTTTCTACTTGCTTAAATTTTGGACGAAACTTATACAACCAGTTACTCATGCCTGCAGTGGTACTGAATATTCACGAATACGGTCTATAAATATGGATAAAAGTTGAACCATATATTGGTATGATGCGTACGGTGTACCCGTGTAAAATTTGTTCAGATAAAACATTCGTATTTCCAGATAAATTTGTTTAAGGAATGTTGTATATTTCTCAATTTATTGTTTTTTAAGCATTATGTTTTTCATTTATGAATTACTTGATTAGAGTCTATTAAGAGAATCTTGAATAGGTCCTTTAATCATGTATTCGGTATTCATTGTTGTATAAAAACATTTTGTTGTGCTTGATAATAATATGCTGTGAATGGAGAAATTTTTATGTTTTATTTTGTATTGGCAGCTGAAACACGTTCACAGAAGATCTTGGTATTTCCATTTCCATTGTGCAGCTTGCATGAATGTTGTTCCATGCGTTCAAATTTGTTGAACTAGTTTGAATCCAAGCAGTATTTTACCATTTGTTTGAAATTCTTTTCTACTACTGTGTTTTCACAATTTATTGTTTCGTCCTAATTATTACTAATGTTTTCAGAATTTCTACGCAGCTTTTCAATCGTTGTGGGCCAATGGTTATAAAACTTACTGTGATCGAGTACAAGTTGAAGGTCGTACAGTGGCCGCGTCTAGCCACTTCCCACCGCGTGCCATCTTCATCTAACCATTAATGTTCATCAGTTAGTTGTATTCATTTCCACTTCAAGTTTATCGTCAGGCTGGAGTTCGGGGCTCGGCGCAGGGCTTCTCTACTACCTTCGCTGTGGTGTGCTGATTCGCTGCTTGGGTGCATGCGAAATTTTATCAATTCTTATCCAAGCTAACTGAAGTTTTGCATCGCTAAGGTTTAAGGTGACCAACTGAACGGAAATTAGTACTAGACAGACAATCAACGTTCAACTCGAGGAAGGCATGCGCATGCAACGCGCCTGATCAGCCGAAGATGTTCTCCGCACTACAGCGCATGCATTCACATCGAACCTCGTAGTGCCCAGCTGAGAGCAACTCCAGTATAATTGAACGTTTTATTGGGTGAATCCTGCTACGTCTTTTGAGTTGCAGACTCTTATCGTGCGTTGCATTTTTGATAACGGCTAAGAACCATTTTCAGAGTCTGTGAATTATTTTTCGCGATTCTTTTTTACAAAAGATTTGAAATAATCATCAGGTATTGCTGTCCACATACCAAATGTCCAGCAACTATCATTTCACTATACCACTTAGGATTCTTATTAGCCCGTAAGGACTCAAAAAATATTGTAAGAGAAAAGTCTTAGCATTTTGTGCGCCCTATACGTATACTGGGAGTGTCTGATATAACAATTTACTGAACTTGCAGTTAAGTCAGCAAAATTCAGTACAAACTAAGCTATTCCTGCTACACTGATGAAAATGCAATGACTATATGGCACAAAAAATAAAATTTTAATTCATGGATGTACTGCAAACCAACATCATCAACAATATATAATGTGTTGATACAGCTTCAGTCACAAAATTTGGATCAAAATTTGGAGCATGTGGCAAACTTTCTGATTATTTGTGAGTAATTTCCTCATACTAGATTTTTTTCAGAATACGATCCAACACAAGTAAGGAAATAGCCGCGCCGCTATCAGATTAAAGATAATTAAAGGGAGTTATAGTTGATCCAATAATCCAATAATGTTTCAGAGTACCAATAACGATCGAATAGTCGCAATTATCGAAAAATTTAACCTGTTTTATGAAATGATTTTTTCTAAAAATACGTTTGAGGTTCGTAGGTGTGTATATTCAGTTATTACAACTTTCCTGAGTGTCTCGCCTATTGTACAATTACAAATGGGAAGCACTGGCCCAGCCACAGCCTCCAGTCTGCGCCTGCTGGCCATTCCAAGTTCTGAGTCAGTGTCGCGCATGAAACGAGGGAGGCATTGTAAACATTGTGATGCATAATGCAATCTACTCAATTTTGTATATGTTTCATTTCATATCAACATGTAAATTTGGACACGCGAATAAAACATCTCGACACTTTTGCGTGCCCGTTTGTGCCTAAGCAAAAAAAAAAACACTGATGACGAATGGAAAGGAGATATTGGCTTTTCCAAGAAGGTCCTGCATGCACCGATTTTTCAAAAAGAACCTTGCAACCAAAATCTGCGTTATAAAACTTGCACGCCTTAGGTTTTACTTAGTACATTAGAGAAATTTCTGATTATTATCAAACTTTTACACTGTCAGAAAATAAATCCAAGAACGTCGTTTACTTCTTCATTGAAAAAATTACTCCCACATACTAGACCTGACTTTACAACTACGAATGTTAATCTAAACTGAAATGAGGTTCACCATTCATGGAAATAAATTTCATGGAAATAAATTGAAAAGATAAGTGCATTGTAAAGTTTTTTTATTTCGTGTGATAATGACGTTCAAAACGATATGGGATGTTATGTTTATCTTTTCTATTTGTCCAGCTGTAGAGAGTTTGCCTTTACATTCAAACGGAGCTCACTTCGCCCTGCCCCAACCCAGATAAAAATTGCTGGCCCCGTCCGGCAGTGAATAGAAGCAGTCACTGCCGCAATACTGCCATTCTCTGCCGTCATCACGCTACAAGCGCCTTCTGGGTGCCACAGCACCGCCGTGTGGCCGCTGCCGACAAATGCAGCTCGGCCCTCACTATTTCACTGCAGAACTGCTACATCGAACTGGAGCCGTTCTATATAAACAAGGTTTGAACGAGTACGGCATTCCTGTCGTACCGTGAGATACGGTATTCCTGTCATACCTTTCATCTACCTACGAAATTACTCAGGAAAAGAAAAAAAAACATTGAACTGGGACGTTCTAAGTCAGGATTGAACGAGTGCCGGCTGCCATGAGTCACGAGAATTACAACTAAAATATGAACTTTGCTGTAATTTAATATGAAATACCTATTTTAGGACCTAAAAATGTCCTAAATTTTCAAATAACTCCCATTCCATTCATCCACCAACGAAGTTTCACGTAAAATACATCGAATTGAAACTGTTCTAAACGACGATTGAACGAGTGCCGCTGCCATGAGTCACGAGAATTACAACTAAAATATGAACTTTGCTGTAATTCAATATAAAATACATATTTTAGGACCTAAAAGGTTCTAAATTTTCAATAACTCCCATTCCATTCATTTACTTACGAAGTTTCACGTAAAATACATCGAATTGCACCCGTTTTAAACGACGGTTGAACTCATTCAAACGTCGATCGGCTCGTTCAAACGACGGCGTGAGTCACACGACTTTCGTCTTACTACTTAACGGCCTGCAGTTCGCTCTGTGCTGTGACGCTGTAAACGTGGATAGTTGTTGAAATAATGTTGTTGTTGCATCTATATTCCATTTAAAATTCGTTCCAAAGTTCAGCTCTGGTTAATTTAAACCCAGATAATTCAAGTGTTTCTCGGTGTTTGCCAACTGTGTGCAAGGAGTTGAATTTTTGCGACATGCCCATGTAGGCTTAGATTGATAATCCTTATGAATTTAATGTTTATGTGCTGCACACTGCACAGTAATGCAGCTATGACTAGGAATAGGGCCTACGGCTGATTTTGATCGGTGTTTCCGACCAATTTTTTTTAGATAAATTTCTCCAGTGGAATTTTAAGTTTATAAAATCATGGAACGGAAACCTTACCATGCACTGGCCTCAAAACAGAGGAAACGGAGGAGAATTAAATATTTTTGCAATAATTTTGTCAGTGCTGACCGTGCATGCACTGATGGCAGTATGGTGGTTGACACTGGTTCTCATCCTGAAGAAAACTATAATTTTCCATATTCAAGTGACTTTGCTGTTGAAAATTTCCCTGTTGACAACATTTCAAGTAATAAAGACGAATCATTCTCAGATGACATTTACAGCGTAAGCGTTTCTGATGACGAATTTGAGGGCAGAAAAGCACCAAGCCCGTTCACACAAGAAGAAAAATTGCGCAAAGCTCTCCGTTCTTGGGCTCGAGAAGAAAAGACAGTTTCTGGATCTTCTATTAATAGGCTGCTGAGAATTTTGCACCCAGACTTCCCAAGTCTTCCGTTGTCAGTAAGCACATTACTTAATGATAAAGAAAATGCTGCTGAGGTACGCCAAATGTTTTATGGGCGTTATGCTCATTTTCCCTCATGGATAGAGTGTGTTCTCCAGCACCTGAAACAAAATCAGAAGATTCAATCTTTGAGTGCTATCATCAATGTTGATGGCATCCCGCTGTTCAACGACACTCGTAGGTATCACGCTTGGCCCATTCTTCTCAGCTTTCTAGAGATATCCGGAAAAATATTTGTTCCTGGGATTTACATTTCAGAAGAAGTAACATCAAATAAAATGCCAAGTCCAGATGTGTTCTTAGAAAGGTTTGTGACTGAAATTAAAGTTTTACAAGAAAAAGGTTTGGAGGTTAAAAAGGCGATCATTCCTTTCAAAATTGAGGCAATATCATGCGATGCACCTGCAAGATCTGACCTGAAAAATACCGTGAATCACAACAGCTACCACGGCTGCGAGAGGTGTGTTCAAAAGGGGACGTACGCAGGTGGCCATGTTGTCCTTGGTGAAACCGATGCTGTGCTGAGAACAAATTTTAGCTTTAGGAATAAGGCTGATAAGAATCACCACAAACCGACCGTAGAATCGACACCGCTGTTAACCTTGGACATTGACATGGTTCACGATTTCCCAATCGATATAATGCACGGCGCATTCCTCGGTGTAATGAGACGTTTATTGCATCGGTGGCGCGGCAGCAAGACAGGTGAAAAGAAATGCCATCTCTCAGTGGACTTGAGAGAATCATTTGATTCCAAAATATTGGGGATTTGTCGATCTGTGCCTCGCGAATTCTCTCGAAAAATGATCGGTGGTTTCAGATCTCTCTCGTTTTGGAAAGCTTCTGAATACCGCTTGTTTGCCGTTTACATGGGGATTTATGTGTTGAAGAATATCTTGCCTGAAAATTTATACACGCACTTTCTGAAATTTAGCGTTAGCTTAAGAATATTGTTGACTCCCAATCAAGAAGTGAATATTCCCGTGGTGAAAAAATTACTTGTAGAGTTTGTCGAAGAGAGTAAAGAACTTTACGGTTCTGGGTTCCTTTCGTTTAATGTGCACAACCTCGTACATTTGCCTGATGATTACTTAAGGTTTGGAAGTTTAGATCACGTCTCGTGCTTCCAGTTTGAAACCTTCCTTGGAAGCCATATAAAAAAATGTGTGATCGGAAGAAATAAGGTTTTAGAGCAAATTACGAAGCATGTTAATTTGTCGAACCATCACCTTGTACCAACACCCAATCACGGAAATGTCTTGACTCTGGGAATAGCCTGCCGAAAATGTGACAACGTAAGTGAAACGTGTTACAAGTCAATGAAAATAGGACACGTAACATTTAATGCATCACGTGAAGCAACTGCTAATAATGGCGTCGTTCTGAGCAATGGTGATATTGGCTATATTACTAAGATAACAAAATCTGATATTTGTGTAAATTCTTTCATAAATGTCGAAAACTTGTTTAACCTTCCTGTAGCGTCAAGGAATGTAGGAGTGTACAAAGTAACAGGGGTGCGTCAGAATATTTGGGTGGCGTCGAGCAGGATTTTTGCCAAAGTAATTCTTATACCGAATAGAAAGTCGTTCGTCGCGATAAAAATGTTGAATTCAGGGTGTACTAAATAATATATTCCACTCTATCGAAAAAAAAACAGATGAATGATTGTGAAATGGATTTAAAGGATTGCAAAAAGTTTGTAGGAATTTATTTTGATCGCAAGGAGTGGCAAGTTGTACCGAAATGTTGGCTCTTCGAAAAAGATGGCTCAAACTTTTGCCTGTGGCCTACGGAAGAAAACGTCGTGGATCTGGCTATGATGTCGAAGCCTGCGGACTCAAGGAGTTGGCCAAGATATGCCATTTATCGAATCGCCGAGTCTTCGGGTGAGTTTCATACTGATGAAAGTTTTAGTGAGGCGGGTATTATTTATCCCGCTCGTCTTCATGATTCGGTGAATAATTGTAATTCTGTTACAAAAGATACCGGTAGTAACATTCGAGTATCACTGTGTATTTCTAATCGAAGCTTTTGGTCCTTGATATTTGAAGCAGCTTAACGATTTTCTATCCTCTTATCTTTTATCCTTTATTTTTATCCGCAGATGATTACAATAGAGCCGTGAAGAAAATGTTGTATGGAAGTTCTAGTCAGAGTGAGAGGTCTGAGGATGAACCATCTACATCTAATGCAAACTGTGAGTTCCTCTGTGTTAGTACGATCTTGGTTTACTTCTCATGAGTGATTATTGCACTGTTTAACTGACGTTCAAGACACTAAATTGAATAATTTTTAGCTTTTACAACCTTTCAACAGATCATTACATGAAATCCTTGAAGCTCACCATCTGAACTAAAATATCTGCTAATGTATCTACTGAATGAACCTATCGTTGTTAGGTGACGATCTTGGGGTGGCGACGAACTCTTCTGGCTTCCATAGGGGAAGAAGTTGCACACCAAGCCCAAAAAGATCGAGAGGTGATTCTCTTGTACTAATGAATCATAGTAGATATTTCGTATGAATATTTCAATCATTTTATAACTTAAGATATTTTCCGTAATCGTTATTCAACACTACAGCATACAATTATAGGATCTTCATTCATTTAAAAAATCTTCAGTTATTTCATTGTAAAATCGCTCGGGTATTAGGCGTAGATGCCTCCGTTAGATGTAAATCGGATATCGAAGTTACTCTTTCAACTATTTTTACCACTTCCATTATGCTGCCTAATAACTGGAATCGTGGTTAATTTTCATCAGGACGTGGAGGTTCAAGGTTGGCGGCTTTTACTCCACGACGTAGTCCTCGCCAAAATCAAATGTTGAGCACAAGGAAGTCATTGAGAGGTTAGCTAAACAGGATTAGATGATAAGTGTCATTTTTAATGTGGAACAAATCTGTACTGTTGACAATTTGATGGAAACACATTGCCAGGATTTTAATAATAATATTGTTGTGGTCCTAACTGAAGAGACAGGAATCTATTTAATGATTTTATATTGATGAAGAACATTCAAATAAATTTACTTTGTCACTATTGCGTACCATTGCAATGTCCTTCAGAGCAAAATAAATCACAAATTGACTTTTACCTATGCGACCTTTTTCATTGTCATCAACATGACAATCCAGGTAAATTTAACGCCTCCGGAGCCTTTTCCGCCCCACGGTCTACACCCGTACAACGACAACTTCTTTTGGAACCCACTCACGAGTTTTTCCCTTCTTTGTAAGTTGCCCTTAACGTTGTGAATGTCATTTCCGTCTTTGAAATTTATAACAAAATTATCACATCCAGTAATTGTGATTTGAAAGACTTTAATGTTAGGACTGCATCATTCATTTTCGCCGTGATGCGTAACTAAAAAAGCAAATGCATTATTTCCTTCTGACCCGGCAACATCAAGAAGGTATAGAAATGAGTTTCGCGCTCAGTATAGATCTCACATAACGAAGCCCGAATATTTTCTTGATAAATACCTTGTCTACACTGTGGCAAGTACTGGCAATATTGAACGCTGAACCGCATGTGCAACAAATTACGTAATATACAGTCAACGTAGAAAAAGCTTTTCCTCAAATCGTACCTGTAAATTATTACGTATTTTTAATATTCACTTCTTAACATTCCGTGTTAAGACACTCCTAAAAATAAATTATTTTTCGACTTTCGTCACTTGTGGACATTCTGTGTTACCAACAAGATCCGGAACTAACCTTGTGTGTAAAATGTCTTGCATAGAATAGTTTATTGTTAAGTTAAACATTTGAATCATTTGAATGAGATTTGACATCACTCGATGCAATTTATTTGGTGCTACTTTCCATGGTTTATATACTTGCGAGGGATAGAAAACTTTTTTGTGACGTGTCGCGATCTGATTCTCTATGACTCAATAGCGGACATCAATGCATGATAATTCAACATATTCGATCTATTATGATGATATTCAATTTTTGATTTCTCAGTTAACCCAATACCTTTCTTCTGGCCTTCACTGTTTTCATTTTTTCATACCATGTCATTTGCTTTACAGCTAATTTCTTGTAGTGTTGATTACTAAGCGCTATTACTAAATTTAGATAGATTAAACAAATATGCAAACATTGACGTTCTTTTCTATTATGAATAATTGATGTCGTTACTTTATGCTCATTGTTACCTAAAATATTCGTGTGATATTTTTTATTTCACAGACTCGGTACCTGGCTCAGTGTGAGGAACCTTCAGTTGGCTCTACATTGAGACGAATGCTCAAGAGTCTTCTGACGCGCGAACTTGCCATGCAAATGTCGTTTACTGGGTTGAACAGCAAGCGGCAGAAGACCAAGATAGCATTCAAGACTCATGGCGCTTACACAATGATCTTGCGTAAGTTTGACCTGATAAAAGGCAATAGTTATAAAAAAAATTCCCTCCCATGTATCTATTATCAAATGTTAGCTGCCACTATATTTTTATTATGAAGTATAACAATCCTTGAATGTTAAGAATATTACTTATATAGTCTAGTATAATATTGTCGACGTCAATGAATTTGACCTGTCGCCGAATCTTGCAATGTTCCTGTATCTTCTGAAGACCCTAGAACGGGTTATTCGACCAGATACATATATTCAAAACTGACGGTGGAGCTAAGTAGCTGCTGAACAACCACCAATTTGTAAGGTGGTACGCATTTCTTGCCGATACATAGCCCTCTGTACAGCTTTATCTAGCTAGTCGGTTCTTGAACGCGTTCATACTCGGAAAGCTTACGACGCCAGCTGTGAGTTTGTTCCACATGTTGGTGGAGCGAGAAGAAGTGCTGTCTCAGGGCAGGGAGGAGTTACACCGCAGTTTCTTCATAAACGATTCTTATTCTCCAGGTGCGCTGAGCTTGACATCACATTGTCATTCTGGTCAATTTGTGGTAGACCACACGATCATGAATATTCTGCGCAACGCTGGTGACTGGAATGGCCACCGGGGGAAGAGACACGTCGACACTGACTACCCAACTCCAGTGTGCTCTGGCTCCTTTCTTGCTGAAGCTGGAGATCTCTTGCAAAAAAGCATGAACCTTCTTAATGAGTGACTGCCCTTTGATTAAATCTAACGGTAATCCGGCTAATCATTATTAACCTCATTAGAAAAAAATTAGTTCATGCGATCATTGTTGATTCTATCAAAGAACATTTTCGTTGTAGCAAAATGTTAGAAAATTAAGTTTGAGCTCAACATTATTTATTTAAATTGATACGACAAAAATCACGTATCCTGATCAGTAGTTAGTATTCAATATCTGAAGCAAGTTCAAGATGCTGATAGGATCAGAATTTTAGTCATTATTCACGATGCGACGACGTAATTAGAACGGAGACACGCGACGTACAATGTCCTAATTGCAATCTTTTAGTATAAGTAGAACTGCAGCCCTGTGGTGCATGCTCACTGCAAGTAATATGTTTAACAGGTGTTTGTTTGGCGTTCGTAAGATTGTTTATTGTAAAAGAACGTGGGTGTGTTAGTTGATTCACTTATTACCGGAATGATGTAATACATTCATTAAATTAATTCGCTAATACTCGTCAACACACCCATGATTTATGCAATTGAACATTCAACGAACGCCTAACTTACGCTTGTATGACATATTACGATCTGTGGGCAGGCGCCGCAGGGCTGCTTTTTTTTAAAATAAATACAAGAATCGGCCGTATTAAGGCCGCTGCCTACACGGCCCTGATACGGCGCCCGCATGCAGTCAAGCATCACGGAGTGCGCCGCGTGGCGAGCGAGCTGGCGCCGCTCGCTGCCGCTGCTGTCGAGTCATCGCCAGGCCGAGGCAGCGATCCACTGCCAGCGAGTGGCCCCTAATATGGCCCCAAAATGGTCCTTCCATCAGCGCCGAGCCGCTAATGCGGCACCCACACGACTGCCGATTGGCATGAGGCCGTAGCTGATGTTGGCACTAATTTTTATTTGGGTAGGCCGCTCCGCGATTTGCATAGAAAAAAATCTCAGGCAATAAAAACTTGACCGTCTGAAACGACTAAATTATTTCTTTATAAAAACAGAAAGCTGGCGTCCTGTATAAATTGAAAGGAGCCCTGGAGGGACTAACGTGCCTCGCGGCATGCGAGGAGAAGCTGCCCATACATTGCACGACTTCAGGTCCTGCTGTTCACTGCCTCGGTTATTGCAGGGCGATGAGTCCTGGCAAGTTCAGGGCTGCCACTTCACGTACGCTTGTGAAAAGTTTTGCTATAGTCTAGTATTCGTGATAATTTTTGGTACATGCAAAAATATATCGCGTTTGAGAAGTTGGATTGATTAATGAATTAAAGCGGACAGTATTGAGTTGTGATGCATTGGCGTGTCTTACGTGATATTTAGAAGAGCGCTCATATTATCCTCGCGTCCAACTGATAGCTATGCATATGAAACATATTTAAAGGGTATTAAGATCAGTTGATTGCTCGAATCGCAAGTTTATAAAGAATTTAAAAGCAGAGAAATGAAACTTAGAATGAAAATCATATAACTAGAAATTTCATAATTCGCTCTCGAACTACGTTCTATACAAGGGCTATACTGACAGCTCTATATATATTCACATACATCTTTCATCAATTTATGACCTTGATTTTTGCTCATTTTTGTAACCAGCAAATGTTCCAATGTTTAGTGAATTTTTACAATTGATATATGAAAATCGATTACAGGCATTTCATTTCAGTGGAAATTAAAATTTTCTGTATATATTGTAGCAATTTTTTCGTTTCTTCATATTCGAACAAGAATGAAAAATTATCAAAAGAGATTCAAACCCGAGGGCTTCAAGGTCGAATTTCAAAAATTTCTTGATTCACTGAATGTTATTTGCTTCTTTCAAGTTCTATCACGAACCAATATATGACGATCCATAACAAAATGTTTTGGACCCTTCAATTAATACCATAAATAAGTAATAGCTCTCAGCATGTGATTGTGATCTTGCTTAGGCGACAGATTATCTCTAAATCAGACTTTTAAGGAACGAAAAAAATTGATAATAAGTCTTTTGAGATGGTCTTCTCACAATTATTAATTTCTCAGATCAATAATGGGATAAAAACTACTACTCCAACTATTTTTCGATTTTTTTATATTTCTGACATATAATTTAGATATCGTTTAGAACTTTAAAGCTCAAATTTGAGCAAATGCAAACACCGAGTTTCGTAAGAAGACAGCGAAAACATCACAGTTAAAAGGAATCCAAACTCCACCACCAAACTCGAAGAGAAGAACACGAATTGAAAAGCGAGCCCTAAATTCCGTGGAGTATTTTATTCTTTACCACCGCTCCTAAATTTTCACGGAAAATGTGTTATTAAACTTTACTAAGAACTCAATTTTTTCTTTATAACGTTCATATTAAACCTAAGTCTGAAATGTCCCGGCTGAAATTGTTCAATAACCGCAATATAAATTGATGAACGCCTGCGAGGCAAAAATAAAGTTATTGCATTCCTACCTTCTATGACAATAAAGCAGGGAGGGTATCATGACTGGAGCAATGGATTTGCCCGAAGATGCAAAAAAATATAACTCGGTACTCAATGCAGTGAGTGACAGAGAGCGCATTTTCTCGTCGACGAAAACGTGGAGTCACGGACGGACAGAGAGACAGACGGAAAGACAGACGGACGGTCGGACATGGCGAGCACAATAGCGCCTATTTATTCATAAATGAGAAAATGCGCTAAAAAGCACTCAGACAATTATAAATTCCAATCGTATACAGACAATCTACCTTATATTTCATTGCAGGATGGTTCTTGAAAATTCTGAGAAGTTTTCTGGAGTCCAAAATGAAAATTGCGTTCCATAGGCAATTGAGCAACTTCCGTTCGCCGGCTTGCTTAGTATTTCTGTGTGACTTGCCTACCTTAGTCTCGGTGTCATGATCATGCCTATCTTAGTCTCGGCTATGACTTGTTTTACATAGCATTGGTGTTGGGGTGCCTATCATCGTTTCGGTGTTATGAGCCTATCTTAGTCTCAGCTCTGACTTGTTTTACATAACATTGGTGTTGGGGTGTTTATCATCGTCTCGGTGTTGTCATGTCTCCTAGTCTCGGCTCTGACTTACTTTACATAGCATTGGTGTTGGGGTGCCTATCATCGTCTCGGTGTAATGCCTGTCTTAGTCTCGGCTCTGACTTGTTTTACATAACATTGGTGATGGGGGGCCTATCATCGTCTCGGTGTAATGCCTGTCTTAGTCTCGGCTCTGACTTGTTTTACATAACATTGGTGTTGGGGTGTTTATCATCGTCTCGGTGTAATGCCTGTCTTAGTCTCGGCTCTGACTTGTTTTACATAACATTGGTGTTGGGGTGTTTATCATCGTCTCGGTGTTGTCATGTCCCTTATTCTCGGCTCTGACTTACTATACATCACATTGGTGTTGGGGGCCTATCATAGTCTCGGTGTTGTCATGTCTCTTAGTCTCGGTTCTGACTTACTTTACATAGCATTGGTGTTGGGGTGCCTATCATCGTCTCGGCACTGGCATGCGTATCATTATCTTGGTGTTGTTTAGCCTAGCTACTCCACACAGTATAGTGGTTTTGTTACTGGCTTGTCCATCGTCCCGATGAGAAATTCTCTATCATCGTCTCGGGACTTTCATGGTCTTAGTGATGGCTTTCCTATCATCTCAGTTATTTCTCATTTATTCAGGGCGGCGGCAGCGTTGGGCAAAATAATCGAACTGTCTGGAGCTTATTTTTTATACACTATGCAAAGTAGGAAATCAGATATAAATTTAGAAATGAAATAAAGGAAACAATCCGGCCACGCATTATTCTCTTCAAAACAACCGGCAATCATATTGAATTTGCATAAACATGACTTATTGTGTAATTATCACATGAAACAGCTTTCACAACATGCCAAAGTGATATGAAATTTAGCCGCCTTAATAATAATTAATAGGTAATAATAAGTAATAATTTATTGAAGAATTTATTGAAGAAGAAGTAATGATTTAAATTGTCTCCTCTTCTAATTTTTCCTATAACCTCTCTAAAGTAAAGCTTTTGCAAGCCCATTGTGCAAAGGATCGGTCACCGATAAATATTAAATACTGCTATTATCGATAGTAAGTTTAGTGGTGAACTTTTATTTTTTGGTAAAAAGTTAGTGAGTGCATTGTTCATAAACTCGTAATATTGAAAATTTATTATTAAGGCAGAAAAATACTTTTGATATTAAAAATTTATTTGTAATGCAAAAATATACTTTACTCATCACCGTGTTTCATGAATACGTGAACTCACGATTCAGCAACGACTGTTGTGTGTCGAGTTTTGGGTCGTCCACAGGGCCCGGGTCCCCGCGGCTGCAGTGATGGAAGCGTCCGGTGAGGCGAGACTTGGCGACAGACGAATTTCTTTCCCCGAATTAATGGTCGCTCACACAAACGCTTCCCACTGATACGTATTTCTCAACGTAAGTCTTGAGTGAGAACCACTGCTGTCGTGCCCTAGATAATGGAAACAGGGAAATGCCCGCTATATAAGAGGATCGAGTGTTTTCGCTGCTTGACTCGACTCTTGGGTTCAAGTTGGATTTTCAGGCATGTATCATAGGGCAGTTTTCTGTTTTCTAGAGAATGATTGAATAGTTCAAAAAATTACACAAATTGCGATATGTTTTTTTTGAGATAAAATTGCTTCCTCCACTTTTTGAACCGTTTTTTCTCCCACATGTTCATTATTGAAAACCAAATGAACATTTTACTCCGAGAAGTAAGATATACAACTATACAAAATCTTGCTTTGTGCAGGAGTCGTAATAGCGAAAAAAAAATTTTCATTATAATTTAGGGTTGTAATAAATTTTCACATTTTCCTCCATGGAGAAATTTCCTATAGTAAATTTATACGATGATTAAAAAAAATACTTTTTGTTATTTTTTAGTTAAATAGATTTGCAAACCTGCATTGTAAAGTAAAAGGTTTTAATGTATGCAATGCATCGTAACTTGCAATGATACAAATACATTAAAACATGTGATTGATTTCGCGTCCAAATCATGATTGTTGACCGTTGCATCAAGTTTAATTATCA